TGCATATCTACATATAGTCTCTGAGAACTAGGCGTTAGGAATGACAGACGACATAAATTCGGCTATTGTAAGTACACGGGCAACAGAGACGCTAGACACTGGCTTCATAAAATGTATTGGCCATTGGTTCGAAGGGTCTTCGGCTCTTGTTTCCGATGTCTTCGGCTGAGAATTGAATCTCTTAGCATTGATATTCAAATTTATCAATGTCCTTCCTCAAAATAGTTTCCAAAGTTTCATCTATTGTGCGTTACAAACGAAACAAATTAAACCACGTTTTTCCATTTTGCTTGCAGATGGTATCTATCTACTCACTGTCGTGGGTATCTAGGTATTTCTTTTGTCATTTTTTTTATTCTTTAACCGAATTTGGTGTACCTTTTTATTACAACTATAAATAAAGGTATCTTTAAGCTGCGCTTGTCAAGAAAAATACACCGGGCCAAACATATGTTTATGTTAACACTGTCATAAACATCAGCACGAGCGCCATGTATCGATGGTTTTCACATTTTGCGATACATCGATAGATTCTTTTACCACCGATATATCGACAATGTGGCATTGCCTTTTAAGACTGCACACTTCGCACATCCCGTAAAGGTGCATTTTTTGACAGATGTGAAACATCGAATCACACTTGCACCATCCGTCTTGATCCATAAAATAACAGCTGATGCCAATTGGTACAGACGACAATTTTTTTCTTGTAATCATTAGAATTAATTTAATCAGGCAGGCTCAGACAAAAGGCTGTTTTTGTATAATCCCAGTATTCAGATGAGCCAAATTTTCTTGCGACAGAAAAGTCCCAGTATGACCAAAGTGGACAAAATCACAGTTTGCGATACATCGATAGATTCTTTTACTATCGGTGGTATCGACAATGTGGCATTGCCTTTTAAGACTGCACACTTCGCACATCCCGTAAAGGTGAATTTTTTGACAGATGTGAAACATCGATCTTGATCCATAAAATAACAGCTGATGCCAATTGGTACAGACGACAATTTTTGTTCTTGTAATCATTAGAATTAATTTAATCAGGCAGGTTCAGACAAAAGGCTATTTTTGTATAATCCCAGTATTCAGATGAGCCAAATTTTCTTGCGACAGAAAAGTCCCAGTATGACCAAAGTGGACAAAAAGCATGCTCTAGGTACACTGTTTCGTGTCTGTTTACAAAATGAAATCCATTAAAAATTAAAATGTATGAAAGCAGGATACGGAGCTTGGAGGAAAGCAATGCATGAAGAATTTATATAGTCAGTTTTCGTTCGATTGCATTAGTAAGACTAAAATTGTCTTCATCTATTTATATTTTCTAGCCGTTTAGCGCTTGTTTCGTCTGTTTCCTTCCAGAAAATATAAATGCTATTTTTTCGCTTCTCGATGCAAGTATTTAATCGGTTGCTTGTCTCGTATATCTTATTAAAATGTTAAAAAAATTAAGATATCTGTTGGAAATACTTTTTATTTCTATAAGAATTGATAAGCCGTGAAAATGGCTTATCCTATATAATTTATATGCGATAATTCAGACCATTAAATATCAATACAAATTTACAAATTTTTAAATGGCTCAGTATATACATATCATACTCAGTAAATCAGAGACCTGTAAAAATACTTATAAAGAATAATACAACGTGGAGGAGGAATTCAAACGCGATTACATTAAGTCTTCTCAGTACTGCCGACCGTTGGTGGTATTACCATAGTAGGATGGACGATCTGGAAGTTTTGGCGGCGCATTCATAACAGGACGACTGTGAAAAGCAAAAGAAAAAGGGTTACTAGAAGCTCGGGGTATACGACATTAGGAGAATTGATTTATTGTACATGGGCACCGCTTTACCAAAACTCAACTCACCAGGCGGGCAGCATTTTTTTGCTTATATTTGAATAATTTAAATAAACACAATATTATCAAGTAAAATAAAAATGTTGGAGAAAACCGAATCTGTAATCATTGTATTTTTAAGCTCTGATAAAGTTTATGTTTGGTATTTTAAAAGGTGGAAAAATTAGCTTTCCGCCCTTCAAAAATTATTTGTTAAAAATTAAGTAGGTACATATATTGTAGTCAAATTTTAATCTTTCATCATTGCAGGTTAATAGTATTTTTATTTATTATAACACTTTTCTTTATTTTTGGTACTAAATATTCAACACATTTAATTTTATATGCATTTTGTAATATATAAACAAAGGCATAGATACTTTCTTTTTAAACATTTGCTGAAGTCAATTTCTTATCTTTGAATATGCATACATGGGGAAATAAGTATGGGTAAATTAAAACAATTTTGAATCTCAATTTGAAGATCGCGAAAAAAGGTACACTATTAAATTGCATTTTATATACTTTATCATATATATAGGTAATGGTTTCCATACAGATTTCTTTTCTATCCCATTTTTGTTATACTCTTAACATTTTTTATTTTATATGTATGTACATAAAATTAATATGCATGTATGTATGTGCATATTTCAAATACTAATATGCCTGCAAACAAAATTACCAGAAAGCTTATTAATGCATTTTATTCCCCTCGAAATATACACAAGAGCAATATCCTGGCTTAAACACTTTTTTCTTCTGTACTAAATAATCAACTTGCAAAAGAATAAAAGTTTGTAGGGAAAAGAATTTTATTCATCTGTTCTTTTGAAACATTAGTTGTTACTTTTATAAACTCTGCTGTCATTCTATTTTATTGATATTTTGCACAAAACACATTGCAACATTTTTCTCAAATTTGTGAGCCATGAACACTGAGCTAATAATCTTGGTACAGGACTTTTAAAAAACTATGTTCAAACATTGTAAGATTGCTATGATTATGTATTGATGAAATAGGTAGGGTTTAACCATAAAGCATTCAAACATTGCTTCAAAAAATGTTTTCGATGAAAATGTATGGAAAAATGCAAATTTGTCTGTCTATGTAGAGCTTACGATTTAGAGTTTCTAACCTGTGTTGTTAGGAATATCACAAAAAGAGACATCGCCAGAAAAAAGTGGTATAAACTGATGAATTCATTTTCAGTGAAAAAAAAACTAATCGAAACTGCAAAATGAACACTAAGAGGGTCAACGACAACAATTGACTAAATTATTAATCTACATCTAAAATGACTTTACCCGACTTTCTCTCAGGTAGCCGTACCGTACCAGTAGCAAACATACAATTTTTTTTGTTTTTTATCAAATATTAAGGATATCAAATAAAATGCAATTGCCTCAATTCTTTGCTAAATTTGCCCTGAGTCAATGAAGGTGTGTCCCGTTCGGGTAGAAAAAGAGTGTACTTCAGTTTTATGGATCATTATGACCCAGTCCTGGTTTTATCTTGCAATGGGATATGAAAGCTTTCTTTTTCTATTCCCGTAAATTTGTCAGAAGAATATAAATTCGCTAAATTCGGGGCGACATATCGTTTTAGAAAATACATATCTACTCCCAAACTTAAAGAGATATGTCGTTTTTGACACTCCGCGCGGAGATATGTACGTAGTTTTAGAAGGTCATATGTCCGCGCGGAGAAGTGTACCTCCACCTCTCTGGACACTCTTCCTTGTGCCGCCAGAGGGCGCCGTGTCTCTGTCGGAGGGTGAAGGACGAGCTAAAAGGTGTGTTTGTGTGAGAAGTAACGTAAATGTAGATAATGAACATATTAGAGGAAAAAGGACAGATAAAATTCAGAACTTAAAAAAATCATACGTCACATAAAGTACTGACTGTGTACCGGGTATAAAAAGTCGCTTTTGAATGTACTCGCCGCGCGGAGATACATATGTCGTTAAGATCTGCGCAGAGTTATGTCGCCAGATAATTCGATATGTCATTTCAGGATATTTCGAAACTGGTTCGTATAAAATTTGGTTTGAAATCGTACAATAACGACAAATAATGTGACATTTTTGGCATAAGAAATGATAGAAAATCATGAACAAGAAATTGTTAAATGTTAATTTCAATTTTTGTTCGTGTATCGGTACGAACGACCGGGATAACTTTAAATGTAGCCTTATCACAGAAAATACAAAAAATAAGGGTTTGCTCATCGGAACTAGACGAAACTAGGTAAATGGTCAACCATAAAGTTGAAGATTTTAAATCAAGGGAAAAGTGTAACTAAAATGTAGCTCATTGCTGCCAAATCCAAACAAAACACATAAGGCCAGTAATAAAACAATAAGTACGTTCTTTATAAGATTTCTTATACATTTCTGAACAATTGTTGGTTCGCAAAATGCTCTCATTAAACGTATATTCCCAGATAAACAAACACCATTCTTAAATCATGCACGGCTGACAAAAAGAACAACGCAGACTTAGGAATTTAACCCAAATTTGGACTGCGACAAATGGTTTGCCAGGTAAGTGAGCCGGTGGTTGGCAAACAAGCAAAGCGAGTGCGCTGGGATCGTGGCCCATTGTGTTTGTGTAATATGCTTAGATGTCTTTAACCGCCACCTTATCTTTATTTAAGGTATTAGTAATTTTGTATGTTTTAGTTTAAATAATTTATTTTTAATTAATAGGTCAGTGGAAGCTTCTGCTATACTGATTAACTTATATATGTACATATTTGATTAAATACTGAAGAACATTTGAATTTTTCTATTTAAAACACATCATACTATCAATCGTACCATAATTTTAGGCTCACAATTTTGTCTCCTAGATGTTTATTAATATAGTTTGTTTGTACGTGGTATATGTGAGAAAATATTTATATTCCATATAAGCCAGCCTACATAATTTCGAATACGAAAAAATAACATTCAGGAACAGGAAAGCTGTATTATTTAATAATAACATGTATAATCATCCTCAGCACAATATAACAAAATAAATTAATATCCTATGAAACTGATTCCATACTAATAATGATTTGGGAGTTGTTCTCATATCTCCTGGTGCATTCGGGCATCATGATTTTTCCTTCGTTTTTTTTTTCAGTATAGAATGTTTTTTCTTACTTGTATTACTTAAATCGGGAGGAAAAAACATTGGAAAGCTCATTAATGGCTGCCTGGCCTACGGCTTGATTTACTTGTCCTCGCATGTGCTCCGGTACATAGCGATTGGCCCCAGCCTGCTGTGTGATGGCACCGCCGACTGCTCCAGTGACACGACTGGAAATTCGTAAAAAAAAAAAATGTTTCCACTGATTTTATTTCTATCTTGTATAGACTAGTACAAAACTGGTATCGCTACGCTTAAAACCACTTTTCATGTTATTTTCATTTATATTTATACCATTTTAATTTGAATGTTACACTGGTACATACATATTTAAAAAAGTTAATAACAACACAATGTCTTTAAATTATACAAAGTATACACAAAATACACTACACAACTAAGAATTGTATTTATGTATATAAATATGTAGGCGCACTTAATGAGAAAATGCTTGTTAATAACATAAAAGTATTATGCAATGTAGAAAAACACTATTTAGTTGGTTTTTGGTATGAATGGATGTTCTTATTCCATGTACAACGAAAAGTTTAAAATGTATTTCAAGAGAAAAACAAAGGACTGCAAATGTAAGGTAATTCAAACGAAAGAGAGCTTTATAAAAACAACTGCTTGTGAAAATTTTGAAATTGGTAATTTGTATCTATGTTAATCAGTGTATAGCTATCCCAAAATATAAAATATGAAGATCTATTATTAGCTACCACGGCTCGGAAAAACAAAAATATAACTCTTTGGCTCTATCTACTGAAAACGAGATCAGACCAAAGCACATGAAGCAAGTTTTTTCATTAATACTCGTGTTTCAAAAACTTGAATACATTTTGTTAAGATCCAATCTTTTGCTTCGTTTCTTCATATCAGAAGAAAACGAATAAACATGAAAAGATTAAAATTATTGAGCCATGCAACACCATTTTTACTCAACGAACCAACGCGACTATTTCGGATAGATTTGCAGGCTTAAATGTTACAAAAAACACCAACACGAATTTTTGCCCTTAGCCCACCAGTTATGCAGCTCGGTAAGGGGCGTGCCATAATGGTAAAATAATTTTGATAATCTGTCTTATTTTGTCTATATGTCTTTCTACCGCTTGCAAATCTACGCGCGTCCCATTCGACGTCTAAGAAAAAACACGATACCTTAACGACGCTCAATTAATTAACCTATACAAAAATTGTTTTAAATTATATAAATATTTTTTCCTATTTGTATTGAGTTTTTATGGTCAACTTTTTGAGGACAAACGAGGAGGAACGTTGTGAGACGCGTCGTATGTGTCACAAATTTTATACGCGGTACTCAGTCAGTATATATATATATATGTATGTACATTCATATGTATGTATGTATGTATGTAAACTAATGATTTTTTCGAGGCAGAGTGTGCAGCGAGAGATAATGAAGGGAGGAAGGGGTGGGGGGTAGCCACTGCAAGCGAATTTCTTCATTCTGACTATAACAATGACCCAACCTGATCTTTATTCGGGGAACTGAGTTTTTGATTTTCTCATATTTTCCAAATGTTGGATGTAGCAGAGCTTTCACGCCACATTTGTTGACTTTACCTCTAATACTCTCTTGAAAACAGGCGTAAAACAACACGGGAAGAAGGACGGTCAGACGGACCAAGAATATATTTATATACTTATGACCTCTTCGTTGCCGGAGCGGTATTTAAAAAATGAGAGCGAGATAAGCGCAGAGAAAATGCATTTTTTGGATCTGCTACGGCTTTGTTCAAATTTCAATGTGAGAGTGGCAGCGAGAGCAAAACCAAATACTAGAGTAGCGTAGCATTTTCAAACGCTGCTTTTAGGTTTATTTTCTGAAGCTTCCTGTTGATGAGTCAGCCGGAAAAACACATTAACATATGCATCTACATATGTACATGCATAAAAAATTAGAAATATACCTGCATATACAGTAATCACGAGAAAAATGTTATATTTTCGTTAAATGTTTGTGCAACGTTTCTTTAATTTTCTTTAATTTCATTCAGACAGCAACTTAAATTCATATAATTTGTGATTAATGGAGTTAGATGTTGCTACTTCACACATGCTATTGTGTTACAGAATTGCTGGTTTATCCACGACACAGTACGGAATTACTTATAAGCATACATTTTTTGTTTTGTTTTGCAAACAAACAAAAAGTACAACTGTAACGTTTATTTTAATATGGAGAAACGTACATAGGCAAATACATATGTATACGTTTATGCACATAAACTTTTGTATCATTTTTCTTAAACTACATATGGGCATTTACACCAAATAATCAATAAAAACCAATTTCCATTTACATAATACTGTACGGATATTAATTAAAAAACTTATTAGCATTTAGCTAATTCAACAATATTACATAAATCTTTATTAACTTTGATGAATAAGACCATTCAAGTAATTAAAACTTAATGTTTGAGGTGCCAAGCTTTTTTGGCACCTTTTTTGTTCCAAATCATATATAAACCCAAATTGGGTAAAACATTACAATTTTGAATTACACTGGTGGCTCTTGACTTTCTCTTTCGAACGGCCAGATAAATGTGCGACAATAGGGTTCACTATGGAGATTGGCATTTCACTAGATCCAGGTGACTACGGCAACGTCAGCCGATCCCAGTTACAACCGAAGCGTCCGGTGGTGAGCGCACTTTTTTTAAGTCGAGCGCAGCGGAACTGTCGAACATTAGAGGTTCCGGAGTTATGATTGCTTGTTGATCTTATACAAATTCATTGTATAGTTGTGCTGTTATATTTATTTTAGCAAGACAGAAATTACAGCGATTTTGCTTTGGCCAAAACAGCTCATTTTTTCGGTATTCGTAGGCACTTATTAAAATTACAAAACGTTCTAAAATTAGTCACATTGAAAATTGCTCGAAAAACCATTTAAGTGTTTATCCGGTACGAATGCTTTGGTTTTCTTGAATTATCTTGATTACAAACAATTGAACAAAATCAACCTTAGCACCAATTGAAGGGCTAATTAAGAAGTACAAGTTCAACTAAATTGTCTTAATACAAATCTCAATTCATTTGACTTTTTCACTTTAAAGTCTGGTACTCAGATAGCGAACAGTACTCGGATCAGCTTAACTTTTTGGCGACCGAATCCGGAAAGAGATTACCTTTTCCAGTATCCATCGACTTGTCTTTTTCCCGAACTGAGTACTCGTCTTCTAAGCACCTTCAATTTTTATCGTTTCCATACGAATATCATAAATGATTCGGTCGATGGAAGATTTTGTTAATCTGAGTACGAGGCTTAAACATGATGCAATGGAAATGCCCATATGCAGATTATTTAATTTGGTTTGTAATTTAACATATTATTAGGTATATAATCTTTGATACAGAGAGAGATAGATATACAGAGTTCGATATATGTACATCTTTAGTATGCATATTGTTACTAGATCTTTTCCCGTGCGAAGAGTTTATATGTATTTTTGTTGAGCATTTGCCATTCAAATCAGAATATTACTGACGAATGGATGTACAGTGAATCAATTAAGTTTGAGCACACCATTAGTTTCGAAACTATTTTGACCCCGAAATTGTATCAAATATTTATGACTTAGATCGGGTCTGGAAAGATGAATCGTGTTGTATATTCCACATTTGAGTGGATTTTAACATAACTAAACATCAACAGTAAGGATTTGATGCGCTTTAATATCAATTACTCTAAGTACTGGAAGCTGTCTGTTATATCCATACGATTTTTTCCTTTTAAGCCAATCTTTCTGGGATTAAATATGAACAAGATGTACTTTAATTTGAAACGTTCAGAGTAATATTCTTCAAATACTTCATTGTGAATGTTGTTCAACCAATTTATTTCTTTCTTAAACACCCATATCAGGCAGGCTTCAGCTTTCACTTTCTATTGCGTTTTACGTTTTCATCAAAAACGCGTGATTTTCGTTCTAATGCGAAAGAACGATCTTTTCTCTTGAAAATTGTTGTTTAAAACAAACGAAAAATATGAAGTGAATTATGAATGAATATTCATAATGAATATTAATATGAATATGAATATAAATATGAAGCCTGCCCAATTATATTGATCTTGGGAAACAAGTTTTTATAAATAAATATTTGACTGATTTTGAGGTATTTGGGTACTTTATTCTTGTCCTGCTACAAATTAGATCCCAACACTAATTTGAAAATTTTTCAAGAAGTTCCAAAACTGTATTCCTTGGTGTTTTGGGATATTTGATCTCCTTTTCTCTGAATAGCGTTTAGTATATTTTTGTTTAATATCGTTCTCTCATTATAAATTATCTATATTTATTTTATAACATTGGATAGATTTAACAATTTGTATATATGTATGTAAGGGTACTAATAATTTAGATAATTGCGTTAATTTATTTAATATTCTTACTAAATCAAATATCCGACCGAAATAGTTATAAATGGGCATTTTTGAAAACGTTCGCTCAAATTGTATGGTGGTGTGCGTAAATATTTTTGATTCACTGTAAAAATTGGATTGGTATCTTTAGTCATACATACATACATATGTCAATTAATATATGTACATAGGTATGATACTGTATTCACAAATACTCTTTATTTCAATGCAATTCAGATGTAATCTTCAATCTAAGAAGTACTGGTACTAGAACTCTTCTCAAGTGAATTTACATACATATAACTCAGTGTGCTTCGCATATTACTCTTTTTTATGATATTCACGCGGCGGATATTGTACATACATACATACTTATGTATGCATAACATTTTCTAATATTCTTTTCATCTTATTCTTTACTACGCATTTTTGCCAGAGGAAGAGTCTATTTCCGACAGGACCGACAGGTTTTAATTTGATTTGGTTGGTTAAAGCGAGAGCGAATTAATAGGTTAAACATAAATTGCTATGTTTGTAATTAGCTGCATATATGACCACCATCTTAGCGACGTCTGTCATTGGATGAACAAGTTTTATTAAGAATATTTGCGTTTAGGATAAGCAATAGTTTAGTATTTTGTTATTATTATTATTTTTGTTTAATCGAGTGGATGAACAATTGCGAGAGAAGGAGAAAAGAGATAAGAAAAAGCGCTTGTTAATTTATGATTTGAAAATGTAAATAAAAGAAATAGTCACACGAACCAGACAATGAATTTAAAACCATTTGTCCATAGACTAAACATCCCAATTAATGTTCCGTATAAATACATACATATGAATGTGTCAGTACATAATATTTTAAATGTTGTTGCTCTACTTGCTGCACTCAAACTGCAAGAAGTTGCCTAGGACAATTCTAAAAATCGAATCTTTTGGGGATATGCTCGTAATTAGAGCATTTTTACTACTTAATTTTTACTTGTACGAATAAAAAACGTACAAGCATTTTCTCATTTTAAGGGTGAAGGCTAGCCGTCGATCCGCTTGGCTTGACTCGAATCAAAATTTTGCCACATTGGTGTGCGGTGTGAGGTTTGAGATTAGATCTGGAAAGATCTTAAGCCTTAAAGCCAAGACGAGGAGCAAGTCAACGTGACCCCGGATCCAATATGATGAAAACGGCTTCATTGACGGTCTACATAACTTCCAAGAACCAGATGGATCTCAAAATAGAGACCCAGTGTTCCAGCGAACAATGCCGCTTGTATTGGAGGCTTCCTACCAAAAGTTTTCGGAGAGGGACACCCCTCCCTCAGAAACAATGCCGTCGTAGGACGCACAGAAAGAAAAAACTGTACAAGTATAGTCTGAACGATGGCATGATGCTACGATGACTGTAAACTTTACAATAAATGGTCTAAGTTTATCTTTAATTACAGTCCATAACTGCCTGCATGAGGTTATAAAATGCTAAACTTTAATTTCTTTGGATAATTTTTCGAGCTAGGTAGCATCACTTAAATCGATCTAGAAGCCGAAGTGCTCAGATGAGCAAAATGTGCTTTTTAACTTAGCTATAGAATCGTTCAAAGTCAAAGTTGAAAAACAGCCCACAAATTATACGGTTTCAAAAAATTGTTTTATGTTTAAACAGCCTATGCAACGTAACGGGCTTTCGTTGAGTATTAAAACCAACGAATTTATCTACTAAAAGACCCCAAAAACATAATCATTCGTTAAATGGTTTCCTCCTTCCTGGAGAAGTCTCTAGGAGATGCGTATTTAAAAACTTAATTTCCAGACGGTAAGTCACACAGATCCAGATGATCAATTTCGAGCTGCCTCAATTAGCTTTTTGGAATGCCAAATTTCTTTACAACCAGGTGTAATTGGACTCGGCCCCATATCCAATGCTTATCTTAAGCAATACCAAAGATGTCGTCATTGATTTAGTTTCATTTGTTTTGGAAGCGACGATGTTAGAGGTCATTGAACATTCTGCACAGTATTACATCGGAATATTATTAATTCCCAAATACGGAAAACAGAAAATGTACAAAGGTAGGTAAAATCGGATTATACTAACGAGTCGTAAATTGTGTGTTTTAAACAAAAACAAAAAGAGGTCTCAATCGACGATTAGACAAAGTAAGAACATATAAAAGACTTAATATTCTCTATAATTAAAAATGCAACTAATTCATATAACAACTAAGTAAAGAATATATTGTTTGTAAGAGTACTTACGAAGGTAGCATTGGAGGAGGGAGTGCGCCTCCTGGTCGACCACCAGGTAGTGGTGGTGCACCACCTCCTGGGCGATTGGGAATAGCTGGCGCTGGGCGTCCAGTTGCCGGTGGTAATGGGGGATTCCGCCCACCCAATGAGCCCTGAATGCAAAGATAATCATGATAACTTGGTGACTTTTTGACAATGAATAAACAATTTACCTGTGCGGTGGGTGCTGGTTTACGGGGACCACCCGGACTTGGTGGGGACAGACGTGGATTATCCAATCCACTGGGCAACCAATCATTTTTAACCGGGGGCGGCAATGGCGATGACACAGTTGCCATGGACACGTCCCCTTCATTCAAAGAAATAGTACGATTCAATAAATTGAAATTTATTGAAAGTATTTTTTTATGCTCACCTATAATTTGCAAGGCATCTTTACAGGCACGATACATGCGCAACATTTCCTCTCGTCTTGTTGCTGACTCAGCTGACTCTTCCATCATTTGTGCCTGCAAAATATTATACATCAAGGCAATGGAAGACATAAGATATTGAGATATTATGTTTACCTGATCACCAGACGCATAAAGATGAGCCAAAAGCTCTCCGTTGATAAAGTCCTTGGCATTATTAATGATGAGCATCATAATTGCCTTGGGCACCATATCCCGCGTTGTCTTTGTAACGATCTTCATATACGAGTCAACTAGATTGCGTATGGTTTCGACCTGACGTTCCAACTGGGGATCGGAGGAGCTTTCCTCACTGGTAGACTGTTGTTTGTGTACATATTTCGTTTGGTGTGGGACATTCGTTGTTTTTGGTAACAATTTTCATTTGATGTTAATTTTTTGTTTATTAGCGACAAAGAAAATAAAATTAAAGGAAAATAAAAGAAAATAAAAACTGGTGTGTGTTAAATCGTAAAATCGTTAGGAAATTCCAAATGGGGTAACAAAATACATCAGTTTCAAGTTATTGACAATGTGAATGGACTTAGCCGTATGCTTTTATTTTTTCATAGGCCCACATCATTATACCCTTGCAGATGGTATTACATTTAAAGATTCTTTAGATTCTGTGATTCGTACTGTTTCTATACAAAATAAATATTGTTATGGGTTATTTGGAAAACGAAAATTTAGTAAAAGAAAAACAAACAAAAGTAAAACAAAACTAAAGAAAGATTTCTTAGACTTTAGGACAATAAGGCAGGCTCCGTCTTTCCCTTATTTTTGAGTTATTATTTTTTAGGCACTTAAGAGCAGGACTTGGTGCTTTAAGCACAAACTCTAGTACATTTTCACATCCAAGATTCGTATGTTATGTGTAACAGAGATTTTAACAAAATGCGAATCGGGCTGACACAGCTGTTCGCATAAAAAATTAGTGTTTTTGTATTGATTAATTTTTGAAAAACCAATTCAAATTAAAAACGAGTAGAAACGGTGTAAGTCGCGTTGAAAAGCGACTCTTATTTATAGTCTGTACTCAGTCAGTATATATACATATGTGTATTTTACAATTTTTCTACATGTGTCATCTGCATAATTACTCAAACCAACACGTCCATTTAGCTCGTTCTTCTCAGTTAGAGCCACAAATACAGCAGATATACAACTTTTTGAAAAATATATCATACATTTTTCTCTAAAGTGAAAACCGGAGCCTGACTAATACAAAATAATATTAAACGTTCTGTCGAGCTGGAAAATGTCTTTGTTTCAAATAAAATTAGCACACACTTTTTTTTTTAATTAATAATTTACATAAAGGAACTCGGGAAAAATAAAACCACCGCAAGGGTATACCCCATTCAAAAATACATAACAATAAAATACATCTTTACGTCACGTTGTTTCTATTAATAGAAACAAACATATCATCAAATAAACATACTTTTTGCTGTCAACGAAGTATTATATTTTTTAGTATTGAGTAGTTTGCGTAAATAGGATATTATTATTTAAATTGCAGTTTATTTTGTTTAGTTGTATTTTATGTGTGGACGAAAAGATAGAAGAAAACAATTGATAAAATGTTGTTAAATAAAAAAACATGTATATTTCATTAATGCTACAGAACCCATATTTCCAAAGTTAAAAACAAATTTTTTTGTTTTGTTTTTGGATGCCAAATAATGAGCATACGTTTTGAGTCTTAGCTTGAGTATTTCACACAAAATTTAAGATATGTGAAAATCTTTCAATTAATTTTCTCCTTAAATAAAAAAAAAACAATATTTAAAAAAACTGGTTTCAGGGGTAGTGGCTTTTTTCACACAAGAATTTTAGACTAAGAATTAATTTGTTTGGCACGTTTGGTTTCATATTTTGAAGTCAGAAATACTCTGGAAGTTGTGCCAGCAACGTTTTAAACTGTAACAGTTTTTAACAGCTCAATGAGATTTTCGGAAGGTTGATCGAACACTTTGAGCTCAATCGTTTCTCCATATATTGTTATGTGCGATACCTTAAACTATGCCTATTTAATAATTGCAGAAAGTAGTTTGCGAGCATTGTGGGGGGCATACAAATTTGCTGTAGAAATAGCTTTTTTCAGCTGCCTTTATTTTGAGCCGAAGTGAGTTCCGGCTACGAGTTATAAGGTAATGGCCCGTTTCTATTAGAAAGATTACGAATGCTTTTCATTTATTTTACCAGCAAAACAATAAAAAATAGAGTTAAAAAAAATAATAATAATGTTTGTTTAATTTTGTTGCATACAGGCAGGCTCCGGGGTTCACTTTTTTTTCGTTTTATCCAAAACGTAGTCAAAACGTTTAAATTTTGGACAAATTTGCTATCAGTGTCCTGTTAAGAGCAGAATCTAGTGATTTTAAGCCCACGAGTTAAAGCTTTTCTCGTACAACTTATCCTCTGTTATGTGGAACAGGGATTTTGTTACAATGCATCATATAAAATAATGTAACTCTGGTTGAAATCTGTTACGCGGAGATCGTAGTCAGAAAAGAGCCCTTCTCCCGAACAACCGACCGAAAGGAAATTCAGGAGGGATAGATGTTAGACTAACATCTAACATAAAAAACAAAACATGCATTCAAAATAAAAAATTATAATACTAATGGAAAGGTATGTTTGCATTAGTAATTTAAGAAGAGGAAGAATATTAATAGTAGTATATTCGATTAGATAGCGAGCAAAAGAACCCAAAGTGTTTAAAATATATCCTTGATTATATCAATCTTTTTTATTCGATTAAATAAGGATGGAAGTTTTAATCAGCTGAGGCCGAGCAGAGCAAAAAGTTTGGACTGAATCCATTCGGTGTACTTTTTATTAAGAGCACCATTTAAAAGAGCCATATTCTAAACTTGGACGAACTGCTGAAAGCAGTTAAATTTGGAGGGACCCAAAGGAGTCCTTGGACTCCCTTGGAGTAGAAAACGAAATCAACAGCTATGTAATGGAGTGATCGGAGTTAGTTTTGTTAGTTGCGAGCGACTGAAGAACTTGCAGGTCCCTCGGAGTAACGTTTTTAACGCCTACTTGACTAATACAAGCAGTCTCAAGCCGCTGAATTGGGACTTCATGTCTAAGAGTACTGCTGTTTGCAGACAACGATCAGCTCCTCAAAACATCACCATCAACTGGTCGGCATACATCACAACTGTGGTGCAGACCATAAGGCTACCTTACCCACATGCACTACACTGTCGTAGAACGTGGAACCAGAAATTAATGCTCGTCTGGTAATAGGTGTTAGACTGGTAATGGATGCTCAGCTAGCAATGGATGCTTTGCTTTTTGTGGGTTTGACTGGAAGGCAACAGAGTATTCCATTATAAAATAGTTAAAAAAATAAAATTCTAAATAAAATGCTATCAAACCAATGTGAACAAAGCTAAATCAGTAAAACCTGAAATGACTCAACGCAAAGTTTCGAAAGCAAGAAAGGAATAAGTTATTTTCGTGTCGGTTATTGGGTAAGAGGGATAAACGGTCAAAATAGGACGGATTTTCTAAATTTTGTATCATTATAAAACACCGCTTCCCAATGTCGCAGAAAAAAATATTAAAAAATGCAACACAAACTACACCTTGCACAAAATTTTCACTCGCTTAGACCTAACCCTTCGCAAGTGTTACAAACACGTTACAGTCTTTTAAGACATCTGCGGAAGCGAGCACTTTCCAATTCTAACCTCCTCGGGACTGTCGGACGGACAGACAGGCAAACGTAGCTTTATCGACTCGTCTATTGATGCTGATCAAGTATATTTTACTCTCTAGGGTCGGGAACACTTCCACCATAAAACAATAAATAACATAAATGCTAATAAACAAACCTCTTGTCCTTCCTGTTTGTACATTAGACACAAGCATCATGTAGTAACATTTTACGCCGATCATTGGTAAACGTAATAGCGAGAACCAAGATAGATATGCAAAAAATAATTATACACCATTAATACATTTTTTTTCTTAAAACGAAACTTAACTTAGCAAAAAATGAAGTAAAGTATGTACAAATATTTTTTTGCTTTTTGATGGATAAGTGAAGTATTTTTTGTACATGCACATATTTTATATATTTTCTTATTCATTGTTATTTTATTTTTATAGAATTCAATTTCAATTCAAATTCAAGCTACGACTCAGGGGGATCACGAACGAAATGTTGGAAGTGGGACTATACTCTCCCAGTGAGGGCGGCTGTTAACAGGTCATATGCCGATTGATGTATAGACGAGTGAGTGCTCTGGACACCTGCCGACCGGCAGGAACCATTGCGGAAACAGGTCCAGTAAGAAATCCCAATGGGAAAACCGGTCACAGAAGTGGCAGCCAAGAAGAGCGTCATCGCAGCTGGTATACGCTTTGAGACCGGCGAACATCTGGCAACCCAAGCAGGCAGCGGCGAAGCACAGCAGAGTTCAAGTCGCCGTAAACATGAGCGGAGGAGAGGCGATGGTCCACAATACTCCCGGGCTTCCAGCCAGGCAGAGCATCGCCTGGTAGGCGATGATGCCTGCTTTACCCAGGGGAGAGACTGGAGGAGAAGAGGCAGAAAATCGGGCGGATTCTGCAGTTCTGCAACCCCCGCCGTCCTACACCCTATTGAAAGGCGCCTAAGGTCTAGTAGGCCAAGGGCCAGAGGCGCCAGGTCATCCTCTTCCTCAATGTGGAATGACTTGCACTACTGAAGGAATCGGAAGGAAAGCTAGACTATGGTTACGAGACCATAACCATAGTCCACTTTAAGTCCTACTTAAGGGGCAAGCAGATGGAGGTCCAGCACCAGATGGACCCCGAGCTCCTGGGGGTCCCACCTGAGCCGGAAGCGGTGTCGGAAGACATCCTCGACAGCTACGAGTCCGAAGCGAGCGATGAGCCATGGTCTTGGGTCACATCGACGTCGGGGAAAAGACGTCCCCAGAGAGCGATACCGAAGTTACGATGGTGGAGGCGAGACTCAAAATGTCCCTGACACTCCTGCAGTTAACCATTCCAAGGGGATCCATAGCCAAGGGGGAGCTGACATAGTTTTTATTCAGGAGCCTCTGGATAGAAGGATCCGCCGGAACCGACTGGCCGAGAATTAAGGTTCAAGCGACAGAGAACGGACGAATCGACGAAGATTCCCCTTCGAAGCAGGCAAAACCAGATGACCAAGGACACCCACAGGGGAAAATCCCGGACACCAACGGAAAACCGTTGGAAAACCAACGGAAGGCAAAGCAGTGGCTTGTGGTAACGCATAAACTCTTGAGTTGCTGAAAACCACAATCCAAGGTTTTGGTGACCTTTGCCCAGGGTGATAGCCCATGGAGATAGGAAATAAGCTCTGGATCAGCGGGCTGACTCTGGACAGGTGTGCAAGTCCAATCACAACCAGTGGTGTTTACGGGAGCTATTTGAAATCAGTAGGGAATCGAGGAAGCTTTTAAACAGTTCAAAGTTCAAGCTCTTGAAAAGCTGGAACGAAGATAGCCACAGCTTCAATCCCTATAAGAAACCATGTAGGGAAGGCTAAAAGGAAATCATGGGCAGCCTTCTGCGACGCCATTGATGTAACATCAATTTGAGGACTCAAGGTTTCGAAGGGTACTGTGAAAGGTACCAACCACACCATGCCTGCTATGCAACTTGGAAGGTACTTTCGCAAAAAGCAGTCGAGCCTTGGATGTGCTTGGATGTCCCTGGAAACGAGCCGAACGCCACTATGAGGCTATGGAATGTCCCCACTTACTACCATGGCTGCATAGCATGTTTTAAAGATGCCTCCTAACCGGGAGGTTAAGATCACGATCGAGCCGAACTGGCCAACAGAGGCACACACCCTAATGTAACCATGTGCTAGACAGCGTTCATTCTCGTCATTCTCGGTTGGTGGCTCGAGCGAATCAAACACGAACACCACCGACAAGAAGATACAAAGAGAATTTACATCTGTCTCGTTCCTTCGTCTTGCTTATCAGAAAGTATTGATTAGTGCTATGGACAAAGATTGTCCACATTGTTACATGCTCAAATATGCAACTACTTGAAATTGAGACAACACCCGAACCACTGAACAGATTGCTCATCAGCACGGTCCCAAAGTTGAGAGCTAAGTTGTGATTTTATATTTATATTTTTGTTTTTATTTTTTTTTTTTATGGAGATTAGTTTATTATCTCATTTGTGTATTATATATGAAAAAGAAGAAGAAAACTATATTACGTATACGCACCTCGTCCCCATTTTCCTGGGTCTCTTGTTTCTCGGGATAAACACCAGCTCTCAAGAAAGAAGCCTTCCACGACTCCACGTCTTCGACCGTTTCGCAGGACAGTTCCAGTTGTTTATAGTCCTAAAAATCACAGTGTTGTGCGTAAAGAAAAACAAAAAAAAAGAAGCGTCCAAGCGCAGAGAACAAATGGATGATAGGTTTTTTCCCAAGCATATGGACAATGGAACAACAACATGTGTACATTTACAAGTGGTTGAAGTAGATTTTTTTGTTGGGTTAGTTTTAGTTCCGGCTGCATTTTAGTCATGTAATTTAAGTCATGAGGTCAGTGGACAACTAGCGTGATGTGTCATGAATTGCCGATTAGATTGTTCTTAGTGTTTTGTATGTAGTACTAAAATCACAAATCAAAAATGCAAAAGGAGTTTGCGAGCGCAGTTTTCCAAGCGTGGCAAGCTCCTTGGCTTTTGATTTGACCCAAATGTTGATAAAAACATAGTAATTTTTATCTTATACAAAAAAATAATATTCGAAATCTTCGAACGACTATTTGGTCGAAAGAATCAAATTTGAATAACGAATTTGAACAGAGGAAAGAAAATAATGAACATTTAACTTCTCTAGTTTCTTTTACAAAAATAGTTTTAAGTGGGCACACCTACCTAGAAAATGATACATTAAAGTTTTAAATCTTTATTTTTGGGCTCTTAAGAATAAGAATAATCTACTTTATTTTTTGGAGCTTCGAAAGACGAAGATTTTATTTTGGCCTTTAATATATTGCAATTTTGTATCTTTATTATTATTTTATTTATATTTCCTACTTGATTGATTATTATTATTTTATTTATCCATTATTATTGTATTTATCTATTACACTAGCCGACAATGTTTTTCCGTTTCGAGCCAAAGAAACTTTTTGTAATAGATTTGTTGCTTTAATCATGCTTAATGCGAATTGTAAGTTTCTATTGTAGAATTCGGTATTTTCTGTTGTAATGCAACAGCAACCAAATTCTGGCTCTTATGGTCTCCGAGAGCTAGGCGCTCATGAGACGGACAGACAGACATAGCTACATCGAATCGGCTATCAATAATATATAGAATTAATGGCGTAGGAAACGTTTCCTTTTGTGCGTTACATGCATACCCTCTTCGAGTACCGGGTATAAAAATGGTGGTTTGGCTCGAAGCGGAAATACTGTGTTGAGAAGTGTAATCCTGTGTGACAACTTTATAAGTGGATGGGTATTTTGTTTTGATTTATTGTAAACCAGTTTTATGAAATATGTAGCTAGATTTAGCTAGTCTGCACCTAAGTTATCCTCACTACGCTGCACCGTTTGATAACATTTTTAAAAATTAAAAAAATTTAAGTTCAATTGCGCTAAAACAATATTTAGAACCAAATTCTGTAATGTAGATAACATTACAATGCAATCACGGGGTTTTCTTTATGAAAATGCATGCAAAAGTGCCTTCATTCGGGCGTATGGGTAGATGTGCCCCCTTAAATAAATTACTTTTGTTTAGATTTAGGTATTTTCTCTGTTTTTTTTTCTTTTCTTTTTTTTATCATTTGGAGTTCATTTTTTTGTATACTAACAAAAATTACTAACCTTATAAACATTGCGCCCGTCAGGACTGAATAAAGCAAAGGTAACACGTCTAGACATTGACATAAAGCCCTGTTCAATATCGCGCAATTTTAAACCATCCAATGGCAACATGAATTTCTTTTCTTTTTCATCCTCATCTTTGTACCAGGAGATGCTCTCAGATGTTAACACAAACCAGTAAGGACGCGAACCGCCTGTGAAAGAAAAAAACAAACTTAATCAGTTGGACAGGCAAGAAATACATACTTATACGAATCCTTATATATAACAAAAAACGAGGAGGAACGTTGATACTACTCTTATACCCCGTATTCAACGGCAGCTAACTAATGAACAATAGGAGTATAGCGTAAGGGCTAATTAAGAGTCAATGCGCCAGTCAGTACGTGTGATATTACCCTCAGATTCCGAGATGTTCAAACATACCTTTCATTATGCCAAGGTTCTGTATCACCATGTGGCCCTTTCTTATAACTTGATTGCCAAGCTGACGAGTGCCTGTTTTATTTGCGTTCTCAGATTTATTCTGAGCACTGTAAAAAACAATTGATAAATAACTCAGATTCTTTGATTTGGTAGAGTTGCGAGATTGACGCACTTAGCAAAACCAATAAAGTCCTCGTGATTAGTATTCATGTAAGCCAGCTCAAAATCGATTAGAAGGAGAATTTGCTCTTTGCAACTATGCTCGCGTTGACGTACGTGTGTCGTAATAATGCGTTCCGTTTCCTCACGCAAGCGTGGGTACCGACCCATCTGTGAAAAACATTATGTAAGTGAGTTTGAATCAAATTTATAGATATACAATGAACTTACCTTAGCGGTGCACATGCGCACAACAACTGAAAGTTCTTGAACAACGAGATCTACGCACTTGATTACCGGTTCCTTGAGGAGTGCTATTTGTCGCTTCACAATAGCCTCAAAAGCCATATCCGGGGTGAAAAGACCGACACGAATACCGTGAATATTCCGAATGGCGAATGAAATCTCTCGCCGCAATTCTTTTTCGTCACAGGCCATCTTAACAATCTCGAAGCGTAGACTGCGCGGAAGAAGAGTTATATTTATATAAGTATTTTGGGACCGCTTACCGCTCGTGAAAGATGCGATTGATCTTGGCACCACCAGAGAGCTCGTTTGTATTGACCAAAGCCGATCCACTGCCTTCAATAGTCCGTTCGAAGTCAGACTGTAGCTGCTGTATCATTCTAGATAGACAGAAAAAAGTTCGTATGTTAATTCAACCGATTAAAGCTGTATTAAGTCTTGACAGAAACTAATGACTAGTTTTATACTGATTAAGCTATCTTTATAATAATTTTTAACTCACTGGAGCATAGCCTTTGTCTTAATGCTGGCATCGCCTGGTTGGAAGTGCTTGAACTCCTCGACCTCCTTCTCCAAGGTTAGCATCTGCTTCTGCAATTTATCACGCAATCCAGGTAATGTGTCGCGTATATGATTGGTGAGCTGCTGATTAAGAACTCGCTGTAAGTATGGAGTGCCTAGTCGATCAGCCATGTGACGATATGAAGCGTGGCTTAGGAAGAACTTGCGCTCAGCGGCCAACGCTTGGTGAATGTCTTTGCGCCCCTCTATATCCTTCTGTGAACGATTGACAACACCAATATAGCCGCGCCGCAGGGGAAGCAGCTTATTTTCGAGAATATCGCGCGCATCTGTCCCTTCGTCCATGAGATCTAGTTTTGTTATCACACCAATGGTCCGCACACCCTGTGGATCCACCTCTTTGGCCAGCTTGAGAGCATCTGAGTTGGCCAGATCGGTGTTAGCTGGTGTCACGGCCAGTATAAGACATGTCTCTTTGCGAATAAACTGGAATATCATTTGCTTAATTTGCTGCTCAATGTCCACAGGTTGGTCACCAATTGCAACTTTGGTTAAACCTGGCAAATCAATCAGTGTTAGGTTGAGTACGTGAGGCGAATAAACGCGCAAATTAATGGGAATGTTTGAGATGCCTTTGTTACTACCAGTAACACGATCCGTTTCATCCTCGATTTCCTTTCTGATCTCATCAAAATTTGCAAACTTTTTCCCCTTGCAATGAAGAAATTCTCCATATTCTGAAAGCAGATGATGGCAAGCACCGGGAAAATGCAAGAAGCGCATTAAATTTTCAATATGTTGCTAATTTTACAAACTTCTTACCGGTAACTCCGTGGATCAGTTGTAAAATCAAAGGCCTTCGAGTGACAATACCGGATCCGCGAGGTAAAAAATCTCTGCGAAAGATAGTAAATGTATTAAATATATTGATATATTCAATTAAAATATTATTCAGTGTAATGAGCGTGAGATATATATGATTTCATCTTTATGCCAGCTATCCGGCACCACGAAAACTAAAAATTGCAGACAAACTTCATATAAAACGAAGAGGAAGGCTGTGAGTCGCACTGAAACGCGGTACCTTTATACCCGGTACACAAACCATTTCGAATTTTCCTTTTTTTTCTAAATGTGTCACATCTACTTCTAAATTAATTCGTCAACCAACACTAGCCACTGGCTACTCTGGCTATAATAATGATACAATCTGACCTTAATTCCGGAAGTTCATAGATATTCTAACGTTTTTTGTTTTCTCGTATCTACAAAATTGTGGATGCTTTATCGACTCGCTTATTGATGCAGATCAAGAATATATGTATTAGCATACTTTATACTTTCGGAAGCATATTCTTGTGTGCGTTACGCACAGCACTTCGACAGCAAATCTGTACACCCCTTAATTCTTGTAGTAAAAAAGTTGAATGCAAAATACTATGGGCCGTAAAAGCAATATAATTTTGAGTATCTTGTGTCATTGATTTACGTCGTAAGGTACATGCATAGTTCATAAATACATACACATGAATGACTGTATGTATGTAAATATATGTAGTTGCAAGGATTTTTAACAAAGAATCATATGCGCATGCGAAAAGAAACTGAACCGAGGTATTCTGATTCGATGTACTTACATACATACATATGTACATACTTATGATTATGTAACCAGAAATATTCGGTGCACTTATTGTCCAGCTTAAATGTTCTAATGCAATAATTAGATACATATGTATGTATGTAATATATGGAAGCAGAAATTGTTTTTATTCATGTACATACAAACATCCATGCATATACATACATACATGTACATATGGTTAGTCATTATAAAATACATGTTTTTATTTATCATTCAGCATTAATTTGTAGAATACTACAACAAGGAAGTGCAGAAGAGCTTCGATTTTCCAAAGCGAACGCATTTGTGCGATTTGTATGTTATTGTGTTTTGTACATTTTCAGAGAACATGAGAGAGCGCGCATTTCGATAGATAAAAGATAATTCGGCGCAAGTGAAGGGTATGCTGGCTTGATGTGAGAGTATATTGGTTGGCTCTATTAAACAGATTACAAAAATATATGAATCACCGACAAAAAAAAAACGAAAACAAAACTATCTAATCTTATAGGTTGAATTTTGTTTTGGTTAATTGACCTCAAAGATATGATTAACTACATTTTTGCATTTTTGTTTGGCCAAAATTATGACTGTATGTTGCACAGGTATCTTGCCATTAAGTTTTAAACTTCGTGTCGGATAGCTATAACCATAAGAATCAAATCAAATTAAAGAAGTGCTTCAAAAATGCATTATGTATACAAGCATTTAATAACAATTACAATTTTCATAGAACCATCTGTTTGATGAAGTATGTTTACAAGTGTATTTACATGCTCCGGCACAACATGAAAACAATTGCTATCATTCGCTTTAATGAGATTTGGGCAACATTTATTAAGCTGTATCTATCGATCAACCTGAAGGACTGTGGAAAAGTATTCACGCACTTTTTTAATTTTTGATTTTGTTATGTATGTATATATAATATATATATATACATATATATATATATAACTTGGTTTACTTACTTGCCCACGAAGTTTTCCAGCACGGAACTCTTTCCTGCCGATTGACCACCAACAACGGCAATCTGCGGCAAATCCAATTGCATGTGAACGCCGAGCGATGTGAACGCATCTTGCAGCTTGTTAACAATAGGTATCAAGTTGTCCATAGTGAAGAAGAGTGGGGTATCTTTGATTTGGTGTATCGGAAACGGGCTTAATTACGCTATAACGTTATGTCGTAATTTCTGAGTTAATAGCTTCTACGTCGCTGCGCAACGGAGACGCCTACGCCTGCCTTTATAACCGTTCTCTGTTCTAGTTGACCCTTGTCTCTAGATATTGATTTCAATGAGATCTGGAATTATAAATTCTTCCACTCAGAATGTTATACTTTTATTTCACTTTAACAGGCAGCGCCAGTACTGAAGATTTTGTGCTAATATTAACGAAACAGAAAACAACTTTTTAAGCATGAATTATTTATAAGATCAATATTGTTCTACGGAGAATATTGACAATACACAACTATTAATTCTCACGTAAAAATGACACGTAAACACGATTGTTAATGTAGTCTTTCGGGATGAATACAATTTAATTTTATAAACAGAAACAATTTCAAAATCGGTGTTTGAGCTTAAATGAAAATATACATTTATGAAAATTTATATACACATGTGTGTACATGTAATTTTATCACAGGAAAAAAAACCCCTCACATTGGAAGTGCAGGTGGAGTGTAATAATCGATAAAGTATAAATTGAAAATGGTTTCAACTAATTGTCATTAACCGAATGTTTATTATGTTTAAACAACTAAACTGATTCCATTTTAGCCTTAGGAAATGACTTGAATAAAATACAATTTTTTACGAACTGATGACCTCCGCCCAAATCGTTCAATGATTTTTTTTCAACTAAAATAAGGGATGTAAGAAATAATCTGCAACTACATATACTTGTACGATAGTTGAATGGTATCGAAAATGCCACCCTGATGAATGAAATCCACCACCAGCCTCGCCAGAGTTGTATTTAGATCAGCTGACTCGCTATCTGTCAATTTTAACAATCGGAAGTGGCTAGTTCCAGCCATTTGACAGCACAGTTCTTTTCGATTGAAATCTTGAAGGCGACGGTTCTGTTTTTTCCTGCATTTCCCGTTTCGTGTCAGAATATAAAGACTTAAAGTAATTACATATTGTTAAAAAAGTAATAGAAAATAAGTCGTGAACAATTGAATAACTAATCGAATCAGAAGCCCACTCGATGCCTCCGGATAATTAGGATTAAATAAACAACATAAACATTACATACACTTTGTCGCAAATCGAAATTAACATTTTTGTTTTCTGTTTACAGCATGCGTTACGTGGCTGCATACTTGTTGGCTGTTATCGGTGGAAAGGACGCCCCCGCCAATGCAGATCTTGAGAAAATTCTCAGCTCTGTCGGTATTGAGGTAGACACTGAGCGTCTCACCAAGGTGATCAAGGAACTCAATGGCAAGAGCATTGAAGATCTGATCAAGGAGGGACGCGAAAAGTTGTCTTCGATGCCAGTTGGCGGTGGCGCTGCATCTGCTGCACCATCCGCTGCTCAGGCAGCTCCAAGTGCTGGGGACAAGAAGGAAGCCAGCAAAGAAGAGAAGAAGGAAGATTCTGAGTCGGAGGATGACGATATGGGCTTCGCTCTCTTCGAATAAGCCGACTCTGTCGACTTTCTACTTAAAACTTGTGTATATATGAAGCAAAACACGTGCAGAAGGGTTATATCGAAACAAGGAAAAGCTCTGCAAGGTACGTACATATATTAATATCTTATTTGTTTTGAAGTGGACGCAAATACGTGTGATGAACCAAACTTCACCATCTTTCGACTGAAAAAAACATTGATGCCATACAAGTTTTCACTGATTAAATGCCGCCACTTCAAATGTTCCATAAATACGAACTACTTGTTTTGAGGCTGTTGTTAAACCAATTTTTTTTTTCTTTTTTGCAGATCTGTCGCCATCTGAATTGCAGCTATAACACCAATTGCGATTCAAAATGTATTTCATAACCCACAAAGTTGAACATCCACCTTTATTTCCGTGAAATAAAATCTGCAGTGTTGAAACTTTATGTACCACAAATTATACTTTTTTTTTATTTCTCTTAATATTCAAAGGAAACAAATCAAATCATACATAGATATGTATATGCATGTGGCTATTTGAATGTAATCTATTAACCAATGTAAACTCTTTAAAGTGTCGAGATCTTTACCGCAGATGTAACGTAAAACAAATGTGATTCGCTCTCTTCGAATAAGCAGACTGTCGTCATTCTTCTTAAAGCAAAACACGTGCAGAAGAAGGGTTATACCGAAAAATGGAAAAACTCTCAAAGGTACGCATTTATATTAATTTCATATTTGATTTGAAGTGAACGCAAATACATGTGATGAACCAAACTTCACCATCTTTCGACTGAAAAAAAAAACATTGATGCCATACAAGTTTTCACTGATTAAATGCCGCCACTTTCAAATGTGCCACAAATATTAACTACTTATTTTTACGCTGTTAAACCAATTCTATTTTCTTTCTTGCAGAGCTGACGCCATCTGAATTGCAGCTACACCAACAATTTCGATTCAAAATGTATTTTAAAACCCACAGACTTAATCCACCTTTATTTTCGTGAAATAAAATCTGCAGTTTTAAATTTTAGAAATTATACCTTTTTTATTTCTTTTACTTTTAAAAGGAAACGAATCGAATCATATGTATGTACGTTCAAACCTTTTACACTGTTTAGGGGTTTTCATTAAGAAAATCTTTGCGCATTTTTGACCATTGCATGGATTGGTCTCTTGATAAAACTTTCTTGCTCGCCGAGTAAGTAGTCCATTACCGAAATCTACGGATGCCATTTGAGAGCATCTTAAGCTGAACCCTGAACCCTGGTCAGTAGGTCGGTGATGTTTGTCATCAACAACTTGTTCAACACGAAAATACGTGATTCAATGAGTCCAGTACATTGCCATTTATTTTTTTATTGATTATAAAAACATATTCATGGTTTTTTGCTTATTATTGTAGATGATCTACCCAGGCTTCTTTAAGCTTACGCATTTTGCATACAATCGTGTCAACAATATGGTTATGGTTTAGGTCTAGAACATCTTGGCGCATTTTGGGCCATTGCACGTTTGTTGCTAAAACGTTCTGCCTCATTTCATTTTCTGTTGATAAGTTTTTATTTAAATTTAGATCTGAGAAGAGACCCTGCATTTGATAATGATTCGTAGCCGGCTTGTCGCGAACAAATTGTATCCGGGGCATTTTACCCATAAGACGCAGTTGAGTGAGCTCATGCTGGAGGTGGCTACTGCAACGCTTCAGCTCTATTTCGAGAGTATCTTCTTGTGAACACGTGCGTCCCAGCCAATATACATTTATGTGGGAGAAGTCGCATGAGATCTTCACACGGGTCACATGCAGTCCTAGTCCTACAATTGATTGGGCTGCCGCTCCAGTCGCCAGTAGGTCTGTGATGTTTGTCATGAACAACTTGTTCAGCACGGAAATACGACGAGCGTTGTTTTTGTTGGTATGCGGGGAAGACAATCCAAACTTAGAGCTAGGAAATACAATGTTCGGTTGCTGAGTACCGCTACTGCTGCTAACATTCATATTTGGCAAAGGATACCAACGCTTCTTACTGCCTGCCAAGCGATTTCCGTATAACTTTCCCATAATTTTGCTCTGTCGTATCACATTGCCGGCGAGTCTGTTGGTCGCTTTTGTTCGAATACATTCAACCTGCGCTGACCCTCTTGCGATGGCGTTGTGTGGCGTTATATAAAATGTACGCCACATTCGATTTAAGAACATTGCTTGTGTTTTTCTTTTGTAGATTGACAAAACTTTAATTGTGTGACGATTATATCATAAGAATGATCGTGCTATCCACATATAAGAGGGTTTGTATACACAATACGTAAACACATGACAAAGAGCGAAACAACAACATATGTGTCATAGGTAGAGCTGGGAAAAACTCGATACAGACATCGATATAGTCGGTTCTTCGGTTTTGTGGAAAATATCGATTTTTGTTTCGGAAATCAATGACAAAAATTTCAACATCAACTTTCCACAATTAACGCAAATTTGATCCAAGAAAACGGTTAAGAATAATATTTAGCATTCCAGCATGCCCAACGCAATCAGAAAACATTTTTAAACGATTTGGAAGACTGATCTCAGATATATTTACGAACTACATTATAGGGTTATAATGTTAAAATATTGTTTTTTAGAGTTCTGGAGCATTGAAATAAAGCCATTGATCTTAAAACCATAAAATGTTTTTACCGATTCAGTCTAAAGATAAGTTTTATTTATAAAATATAGATTTCTGCGAAAATTGATTGTTTTTCCAACTCTAATTATAAGTAATAATTATACCATCTGCACACTGAGCCTATCTTGGGGTATCGTCGGGAATATAACAAAGATGAGAAACAAGTTTTCACACTGGCTCCATCCACCATTCCTGAAAAACAGCTGAGCTCACATTTTCGTTCAGCGGAAAATTGGTTTATTTACAAATAAAAGTTTTGTGATCCTGCTGATGATGTGTTTTGTTCTTGTTTTTCTCATTTTCCTGTCAGTCCTTGGTTACCAAAGTTTCCAAACCAAATTTTCCTGAAAGAGTTGGTGCTTAGAAATGATAAATTGATAAATATGATAATTTATTTTTCGACGTCAGAACCGTTGTTAAGAATTTTCAAAAACATGTATTTTTGTTTAACCTCTTTTCAGAGGCAGCGGTTCTTATTTTCCCAAAAGTCAAGTAGCTTCAATCTGCTTTTAAAGAAGTTTGTCATTCTAAAAAGCTAATTCATGCAGCTAGAAATTTAATCGAGCTGGTCGTTTTTATATCGATGGGGATCGATAGTATCGAAAAAGCCGAGGAAGTTTTGCATCACTTTCCGTGCATGAAGAAGTCGATTTTCTTTCATTTATTTACATATCATTTTAAAGATATTCAACAGGCAGAGAGATAAAATATATACTCATTCGATCATTGCGTTATTGTATTTTTATTTTTTTAATTTTGCATTAGCAATGTTTACATTAAATGTGACACAGCGCGTGTAGTTTAAAAAGTGCCGGGTTGTGAAGCGTTTGTAATACTCACATAAATACAAACAAAACATTCAGCATATTTTTGCTCTTTTTTGTTATTAAAACAAAAGCGGCAACGAAGCTGTGTCGTTATGGTAAGTGGTCAATTTATTTCAATTCGTGTTAGTTGTATTTAATATGTATACCAATTCTTTATGTTATCTGTTATTAAATGCAAACAAAGAAATTACAAATTTGCAATTTTGTTTAGATGTAGATATGTATGTATGTAAATTACATAAATACATTGTATTTCAGATCGAAAATCGAGGGAATTATTTAACGTAATATTTGCGAAGTATTTTGCGCGTTTATGGCTAAAGCTCCGCTACTATTTTTGTGTGCAAATTCATATGGCTAGATGTACATCTTTACTTGTGTTCTAAAGTTTTGCTTTTGTTTTGTATAAAATATATATCAGAACCTTAAGAAATGAGAATCAGAACAAATCCTCTGCCAGAATATCATGTTTGTTACACTGTGCTACAAAATCGAACTTTTCTACACCGAGTTCTCCTGATATCTTGGGGTTCTATACAATGCATCTGGTATCAATTGTTCCTTTAAATGTTGTAGCTAACACTTGCCATTGGGCAAATATTCTATTGCCAAATTAAACATTTATAATTGATAAGTACTTAGTACTTAGTACGGCAGTTCTTCGGTTTTTTTAAAGCTCGACTAAATAACAAAATAAAAAATTTCGAAACAAGATTATATATTTAAAGAATTTTATAATACAATTCAGTCATAGTGGTTGCCTAGATCAAAGCATACACCCAAAGAAGAGCTAGAGTTTTCGATTTAGACTCTATATTATAAAAAGTAATGGAGTTATTGTTTCGGGAGACTTTATGTGTTCCAAGCACACGCAAAACACAAATATTGTCCTATTTTGCATATTTTGCAACCAGACTGCTGTGATCTCACACTGTTGCAAGTGTATTTCACTTCCGAATATTTAAATATATATAAAAACCCAAAAGCAGTTCATATCTGACAATTGAGAGAACCGGTATATACGAATCAATTGAAATGCACTGCAGATGACCCGAAGAGGATTGAATGGGAGAACTGTCAGCCGAAGACGTCTTCGGCTCTAGGAGATCTCTCGTTATTCCTTAACGAAAATATCTTAGATAAATCACTTCATAGTCAATATCTTTATTTAGAAAATTTTCCCCAAACTATTAATGCACTTATGTATGTATATATATTATCATTAATTTGAATTTGAAATTTGAAAATGATGTTTTAAACAGTATATATTTAAAAACATAAACATTTTTATTTTTATAGGAGATACAGCAACTTGAAGTACTGTGCAAGCAACTTTACGAAGCTACAGACGTTTGCATTCGTGGAGATGCAGAGAAAGCTCTTGCTTCATTTGTAAGTAGCCAAGATGCGCTACCCAAATGTCAACTTCTACTAGACAGAGCCGATTCTAGTTATGCACAGCTGCTTGCCGCGTCCACACTAACAAAACTAATACAGGGACTGACACTTGAGCAAAGAATCGACATTCGTAGCTATGCATTAAACTACTTGGCCACAAGGCCTAATCTGCAACATTTTGTTATTCAAGCCTTGGTTACACTTCTGGCCAAAATTACAAAATATGGTTGGTTCGATACTTACAAAGGCGAATTGATCTTTCAAAATCTACTAGAAGACGTAAAAAAGTTTTTACAGGTATGTTGCATTTTCATAATAACAAAGAATATATGATTGAAATTTCGGTCCTTAGGGTTCTGTGGAGCACTGCACAGTTGGCGTTCAAATATTATCACAGTTGGTATCTGAAATGAATTCTATTGTGGAGTTAGATGTACATATGTCCTTCTCAAAGAATCGAAAGGTAGCCACATCCTATCGTGACCAGCAACTTTACGACACATTTCTTTTGTCGTGCTCACTATTGATAACTGCACGTGATAACAGCAAGAACCTTAAATTTATGGATGAATCGCAGAAAGCGTAAGTTCTTATATCCGGTACTCGAAGAATTTAGGGATAAAAATCCATGTAACCTTAAACCCTTTGATTACCGGGCATAAAAATAGATGACTTGTTGATGAAAGTTTATCAAAATCTTCGGATAGCATTTTCTTATTAATCAATTGCAATTTTTGTCTGTTAATTTGTGGTTATTCTTTATGCTTATTTAAGGTTGATATCTCATGTGCTGCGACTGACGAAAAACTGTTTGAGCTTTGATTTTATTGGAAGTTCAACAGATGAATCTTCCGATGATATGAACAACGTTCAGGTATGTTCACAAATAAATCACAATTTAAAGAGTATTCGAAATAACGCTATATTTTTTAAATAGATTCCAACAGCCTGGCGTCCTGCGTTCCTGGATTTAAACACACTGAAACTGTTTTTTGATTTATACCAGATTCTTCCGAATGGTTTAGCTAGCTACTCCCTGTCTTGTTTGGTTCAAATGACATCAGTGCGTCGATCGCTTTTTAGTAATACTGAAAGAACGAAATTTCTCACACATCTGGTTGAAGGTGTAACAAATATTTTGACTAATTTGCACGTAAGTAATGATTCTGCCCTATTATATACTTTTGCATGGTAAGCGTTCATCCATCTGTCTGTTTGACGCCTCGTTCTCAGAGACGATAAGAGCAGTGGCTACCCCACACGCTCTCCAGCAACACGGGTTATGCTTGCTCACTCTCTCCCTCTTTCGCTCGCACATCCCGCCTCGTGCAGGTGTGCGGCAGACAGATGTGTAAAATGTAAAATTCGAAGAAAAATATAAGGTTACATATGTACATACATATACTGAATGACCAGCGGGTATAAAAGTAGAGTCGCGTCAACGCCAGCGACTCACAGCGTTCACTTTCGTGTTAAAAAATATGTATTTGGATTTATTTTCAGGGTTTAAGTGATCCAGATAACTACCACGAATTCTGCCGTTTGCTAGCTCGACTTAAATCCAATTATCAATTAGGCGAGCTAATTGCTGTTCCTTGTTATCCAGAAGCTATCGAATTAATAGCGAAATTTACTGTGCAGTCATTGCATGTAAGTATTGAAAAAGTGATGTACTTGATAAGAATAAGAATAAGAAATTTTTCGTTTCTGTAGTTGTGGCTTTTTGCACCAAACAGTGTGCACTACTTGCTAACACTTTGGCAACGTATGGTAGCATCCGTTCCATATGTAAAGTCTCCGGATCCGCATTTACTTGGTACATATACACCAGAAGTGATTAAAGCTTACATCGAGTCGCGCCTAGATGCTGTTCCTTTGATTGTACGGGACAATCTAGAGGATCCATTAGATGATTTATGTATGGTGCAGCAACAGCTAGAGCAACTGTCAGTTATTGAACGGTGCGAGTACAACAAGACTTGCAGTCTTCTTGTGCAGCATTTTGATCAAAAGGCACGTGAGTATGAAAATCTTGTACAGACGCCCAACGCCAATCCTATAGATATAACTGTGCATGAGCTTCAGTTAACTTGGTTGGTGTACATTATCGGGTCTGCCATTGTTGGTCGCCTTTCTGTACCGACTAGCGACGAGCAAGATACCATGGATGGAGAGCTCGTCATTAGAGTGCTACAACTAATGAGTCTGACAGATGCACGATTGCCTCAGGCTGGATGCGAAAAGCTCGAATTGGCCATGTTAAGCTTTTTGGACCAAGTTCGCAAAATGCATAGCAGCGAGCAAGCACAAAAAGCGAATGTATATAAGAGACTGACTGAAGTCTTTGGACTTAGCGATGAGCAAATGCTATTAAGCTTTATAAATCGTAAAATGTATGTATCTAAAATTAATTAATTGATTTATTGTTGTTCACTGGAT